TCTCTTTTTACCTCTGAAATCTGTAACTTCTCTGTAACACTTGATTGAACAAGCAGCATAATCATAGGATCATAGAATGGTTTGAGTTGGAAGGGACCTTAAAGCTCATCCAGTTCCAACCCCCTGCCTCGAGCAGGGACACCTTCCACTAGACCAGGTTGCTCCAAGCCCCATCCAACATTGCCTTGAACGCTGCCAGGGATCATACAAGTGAGTATCTGTCACATTCTGCTTTAGGAATTATCAACTGTGTAGTATTTATTTAATTTCAATTCCTGCTTTGTCTTCTGTACATTGATGGTTGCTGTAGTGAGTTTGTTATTTTGCACTTCCAGTACAGATTTCTGTTTCAGGATTGGTTAGGAACAACAGTCCCATGAATTGCTTTCCTTAGTAACATCCTGTAGATGACTGACAAAACTGTCATGGTAGTGGAGAGGAGTGTTGCTTCAATCATCTATATGGAACCTAGTACACAGAGTTGGGAGAAACAGTATCATCAGTCTAAGTGGTTTGTAGCTTTCATCTGAGAAATACCATAGAACTATAATTTAAAGAGGAAAGCTCCAGTATGTAGCAGACAAAATATCAAATTCTACTCATATAATTTTTCTTACATTAACCAAGTGATGGATAAAGACTGCCACTTCATGGAAAATATTTAAGTAGCAGAAATGAAGACTGTAGCAGTATTCTAACTACAGAAATAATTTAAAATGGGAGGTAATTTAGGAGGTAACACTGTGTGGCCAAGCTATCACCTCTGCCTAATGAGTGATATATTATTGCTGTAGCCATATCCCCATACCTCTGTTCTATTCTCTCTAACTAATATCCTTGTACTTACTGAAAAACCTGAAGGATACTGAGGAACATACTGACACCAGAGGATGCAAATATAGTAACCTGCAATGACTGAGTGATCCAAACTTAGCCAGGAAAAAATTATCTTCTTTTAAAACAACTTAATACAATAGGGAGGGGCAAAAAACAAAACCCCAAAACAAAACCTCAAGGAACAATAGGTGTTGAAACAGTAAAAGACATTGTGATAATTGTAATACTTGCCTCTATTGTGTGGTATGGTGAATGAATTCTGGGAACAGAGGGAAAGATTACAGAGAATTTTGCAAATAGATACCATTTGCAACCGAGTGTTTCTCCTTCTAGAAGAGAGAACACAAGAAAAAATGCTTATTTTACAGCTGTGGCAAAGAGGATGACAAGTAGTTTGTGAACATTGTGAAAGCAGCAAGCTAGTTCTATGACAAAAATGTATAAACATACTCAGAGGATACTAGTCAGGCTGCAGTCCCTGTTCCCTTAGTGCTTCTTGAAGGCTAACAAGTTTTTAGTGTACAAATGCAGGTAATGAAGCTCAACAAGCCACGTTTCCAGAAGAATTGAATCCCATCGAATTTTCCAGTTTGGGATTCAGCTGAGCTGTGTCTGAGTGAGTTGCCTTTGTAGCAGAGAACTAAGTATTTCTGGAGCACAAACCATCTTGTCCTGAAAGAGACCTGTGTGATTAGTCCGGTAAACTGCACCCAGAGAGAAGAAACCAGCTTAGTCCTCTCTACTGATTATGAAGGAACAGAATAATCAGGGATTCTGTTTCTCATGAAGGTCTAGATGTATATCGGAAATCATTTCTTTATGTGTAGTAAGCAGACAGTGCTATCTACCCAGATGAGTCACAATGTGATACACAAACATTTCAGTTGTGTTTACATCTAATCTCATTTAAATAACATTCCTCTCCTGTTTTTGTAAGAAGGTCTCTTTACTCTTTCTCTGCAGAATTGAGACAAAAGAAGAAGAAATTGATAAGATTTTGCTTGCTCTGAAACAACTGGAAGAAAAGAACAAAGAATATTATGAAAGAGTAAGTGGCCATGCATCCTTCTCCCAACACATTTGATATGTGGATTTTAACTCACAGATTCAGTTTTATTCTTTTAAGCCTAATACTACATTCACTACAACTAGCCCTTTCAGTGAATTTCTTAGAGTCAATGAAACTGGAGTTAGTAAGTCACTTTATGTGTTTAAAGTTAAAGTGTTATCTGAATTAAATGTGACATAAAGCAAAAATTTCCTAAATAAAACATGCAAGAAAGGAGCTTCAGGAGTAGAGCATTGCAGAATAGGGCACAGCAGTACCATAAAGTGAGTTCAGTGAAAGTGTTCTCCAATCTAGATTTAGATTAGATATAAGGAAAACATTCTCCCCTGTGAGGGTGCTGAGGCACTAGCACGGGGTGCCCAGAGAAGCTGTGGCTGCCCCATCCCTGGCAGTGTTGGACACAGGGGCTTGGAGCAACCTGCTCTAGTGGAAGGTGCCCCTGCCCGTGGCAGGGGGTTGGAGCTGGATGAGCTTTAAGGTCCCTTCAACCCAAACCAGTCTGGGGTTCTGTGATTCTGATTCTATCAGTGCACGTGAGATCCTCAGTAACTACTTAAGTATTCAGTCTCACTCTGCAGCAAACACAGGACAGCAACCCCCCTCTCAGTAGGTAATTCTGCTGCAGTATCTTCAGATGTGCCTTTTTAAACAATACTGCAATATTTCAGCACATGAAGAATAAACAGTATTAACTTAATTTCTGTCAGTAGTATCAGCAGATCTAACCAAGTATTGAGATTTGCTGACCTTTGATTCACTTCTGAGGTAATGGAATTGCACAGGTTTCTAGGAGAGCTTATTGATTCTTGCAAACTTAGTTACAGTGAAAACTGAGCAATGGAGAGTGAGCATCGTGCAGTTGTCTAGGTGCAATTTTTGGCATTGCTTGATGAAGACTCACTTTCGTGTGGATTAAGATTTGTTTTGGGACAGTTTTAGAGCAAGGTTATGTGGCTATTGATGGCACTTGAGTGACAGTTTGAAGAACCATATATATGAACTGTATCTAAAGAACTGTATAAAGAACCATAATATGGCATCTGATGCCTGAGACAGTGAACTTTAAAAGTGGGTATATAGTTACCTAATGAAATAAATTCAAACAGCTCAAAAAACCTTCAACTGGATCATGTGATTAAACACTTCTGCAGGCTGCACCCCTTCCTATAGCAGTGAAACTGTCTCTTTATACTTCACATGCTGATACTCTCTGCTTTTATAAATATCCATCTATTTAGCTTTCCTTGGTGTTCCTTTCAGTCTTGAAGCATGGATGGTGTTTCATTTGTCACCATAACTATCAGTGGAAGTATCATTTGGCTCTTCTCTCTGCAGAATCTGAAGTCTTTTATGGGTCTTCCCCCAGTTTGCTGCTAGTTCATGGTCTCACAAGGACTCTCATACTTCAGGCTGTGCAAGGACTTCAGGGCATGCTTGAAGTACTATTTGTTTAATTTACCTATGTTTTGACAGTTCTTTGAGCTCCATTCTTTATTTCCTTAGTGTTACTGAGTGGTTTAGAGTTAATCCTTCTAGAAGTGATGAATGCTTGAGTCTCTTTTCTGAACAGTCACTGTTACAGGTATGGTATCCTTTGGGAGCAAACATATTTGAAATTGCTCACCGCGTAAACTGAGTGTCACTTGAGAGGGCTGTGGTAAGGGGTTATAATCACAGGTGTGCATCAGTCAGTGTAACTAATTTCAGCTCTTCACAACTCTCTACTATGGGTATATGAAAGTGACCTGGTTGGCTGAAGACATTTCTATATGAAGTTGGTACATTCTCAACAAGAATGAACGTGAAGTAAATAACTCCTCCAAATAAATGTTGTTATTAAAGTGACCCACAGGAGGCCTACAAGGATATCAGAGAGAGATTCTTCATCAGGGACTCTAGTGATAGGACAGGGGGTGATGGGTTAAAACTGAAACAGGGGAAGTTCAGGTTAGGAATAAGGAAGAAGTTCTTCCCTGTGAGGGTGGTGAGGTGCTGGCACAGGTTGCCCAAAGAAGTGGTAAATGCTCCATCCCTGGCAGTGTTCAAGGCCAGGTTGGACAGAACCTTGGGCAACATGGTCTAGTGTGAGGTGTCCCTGCCCATGGCAGGGGCTTGGAACTGGATGAGCTCTAAGGTTCTTTCCAGTCCAAACTATTCTGTGATTCTATGATTACTGATGTGCTGCACCAAGTCCAGCAGTCATTTGTCCTCTTTTACTTGTAATAGTGTTGAGTTACTGAGGAAAGTTCTGACACTTGCACACTCTCCCTTCTGCTCCATCCTTTTCGCACGTGATGAAGAGATGTTTAGCTGAGTGGTTTTGCAGTGCATCCCGGCACAGATTTTACTTTTCTTCACTACTTAAGCCTGTGACTTGGAAAACTAATTTGAAACTGGTTTTACACATGCCTTTTCTTCTGGTCTTTCATAGTATGAGCTGCTGAAGAAGGAGCTGCAGGCACGCATCAGGCGCTTACTGGAGCAAATAGAGGAAGAGGAGAAAGAACGAGATAACAAGGAGGTTGTAACTAGGGACGATGTGGAAGAGTCACTGACAGCAACATGGCAGTATGTTAAGGACAAAGAACAACTTCTGGAAGGTGTGCTGTGAGTTGTGGAAGTTGCAGCTGATGCCCTTGGGATTGAGTACTTCTTTTTGCATTTTAAGTCAAGATTCAACTTCCTTGTTGAAGCATAAAGCTTTTCTCCTCAAAATTAAGCTCTCTCAATATGGTATAAGATTGTAGAGGGTTTATAAGTAAATCTGTTCCTTCCAAGTGATGTAGATCACTGTGGAAGTGCAGTGGCTTCATTTTCCCTATAAAAGTTGAAACTCACGAAAGCCCAATGGCTCCACTGGAAGATTATGATGGCAGCAAAAATGATCAGTTTTGATTGTTTAGAGCCCTGGCTGCCATCCCTATGATTCTCTGTGGGGCACACATGTGCCTTTGGTTACATTTCAGTGAGAACTGTTGGCTATCCTTGGCAGAAGAAGATCAAGCTGTTTTCAGCAATGATGAATGGCACTGCATGAGGCCATCGTGTTGTAATGTATTGTGGGGAAGAGGAAGCACCCTTCTTTCTCCAATCCCACTGAAAGTGCTTTTATTAAAGATTTCAATGAAGTAAGAATTATGAACTATCAGTTCAAGAAGTTGGTAATGAACTTGTCTTCTGACATTCTGATTTTCACAGATCTGCAGTCCCAAATTGAAGAAACTAACCAAAAAATCTCAGTAAAGCAAAGTGAGAAAGATTATTGCTTGGAGTACAAAAACGTAGGAAGTAAAATAGAAGCCAAGAAGATTATGAGTCTGGAAAAAGACATTCAGGAAGTCAAAGATGCTTTCCACAGAGCTACAGGTCAGTTTGCAGCTGGTGTAAAGCAAATCTGAGAGGCTTTTTGTGTATTACTTGCAGGAATCAATTAAATTATACATTTAATTTGAGGTCACATTCTAGTAATTTCTATGAAGTTTTCCAAGACACTGTACCTGAGGTGGGCTGCATAATGGTGTAAAATGGAAATCCCTTCCATTCCATTCCTTTCCCTTCCCTTTCCATTTCTTCCCTCCTCTCTCTCTGTTTCTCCTTTTTCTCTCTTTCTCTCTTCCTTTCTCCCTCTCTCTCTTTCTCTGTGAAAGTCCCTTTATTAAAGAAACAGATAAAGTCACAAGAATTATGAACACTTCAAGAAACTGATAAGTTTGTCTCCTGACAACTTCCTTGTCAAACACAGGCAGCCCATTTCTAAAATCTGTTCCTGTGAAGGACAGCAGGTTTCTAAATATGTTACATCTATTGAGGTCACCTACACACAGGACTCCCTTAGCAGTCATACTCGAAAATGTTGACTCTGCTGCTGTTGCTTCTTATCATGCTCCAAGCACTTCACATGTGGAAAACTCCTTTGATGGGAAAGTGGTATGAGCTCATTCTTGGAAGTCTTTTCAGCTGAGCATAGTTTAAATGCAGAACTAGAGGGAGCTGGTGTGCCAGTGGTCTGAGCTTTGGATAGTCCCATGTATGAGGCACTGCAAAATTACCACTCCAGACATATACAAATACTGGGAACTGTTTCAATACTGATACAACAGTGGAATGAACTTGAAAGCTTATATATTCTGCTGTTGAGTGCTTCACAAAGGTTTCTTTACTACTGCACTATTTTTAAACCATTTAAATATTTTTGCTGTTACATATCCCATGCTTCCAACAGGACAAGGATGTCCTGGTTTTCCTCCTTTATGTCCCTCTCAGTATGCATGGCCACAGCCAAGCAGCTGGTAGTAACAGGCAGTGACACTGCTCTAAGGGTCTCTGTATATTCTGTGCCAACCATTACCAGGCATCAAGTACTGTGGACAAGAGCCAGCTATCTTTTTGCCTCTTGAAACATATTTGATCCCAGTTAAGATCTGCACTGTGCTTTCTACATCACCAGATAGCTTGTCAGATATCCATGTCTCTATTCAGGAGAGGTTCACATTTTTCATTATGTGTTTTCCATGCTTTGAATCAATCTAAAACTTTGGTATTCAGCTGCTGGGCTATGAAATGAAAAAGAGAATTGGCTTTTATATAGAATGCCAGAATAAGCCAGTAGGAACATTCAGTCTGACCTCCTGCATGGCACAGGGTTCAATTTGTGGTTGAATGGAAAGGTATTTATAGAAGGGCTGTTGCAGAGGTACATATAGCAGTTGCCTAGTTAACATACTGCAGAATGATGCTGCCAGTACTGGATGTTAGCAGTCTATTTTACTCAGCTTCCTAAAATCTAACATACAAAGTGGCTGGGGAGTAGTCTTCCAGCCTATCAAAAAGGAAACAAACCCAATGAGAAATCAATCTAACAGGCTCATAAAGTGATGCAGCAGCAAACTGGGCTTGTTCACTCCCTGAATGTGTAACAGGCTTATGAAATAAAATAAGCATAAGTGACGAGGTTTCTGTCTCTGTAGGGCTTGATGTTAGCACAGTTCAAGTGGTCTGGAGATAACATTTTAAACAAAATTGCTGGAGGGGAGAGGAAACAAAAGAGTGCACTTATGTGAGGTGTGAGGAGAACAGTGTTGCTGTGAGTTAGGGCAAATAGCTTCCTTAGAAACAGTATGTGTGAACACTTCCTCCTTTCCTGCATTCTCCCAGCACAGCTCAGGTTGTTTAGCTGTCTGAAAGAATGAAAAGATGAATTCATAATAGTCTGTAAGTACTTCCATTTCATTCTGCCAAGTGTAGATGGTGGGTTGATTAAGGCAGGCCAGCTTTTACTGTGTTAAATTAGGAACTAATGCACCTTTCGTATTTGACAGCCTTTGACTCCCCAGTTGGTCCATGACCATTTACAGACAGATCTGCAATAGGCTGTCTGCAACACAAGTGCAGAGCTAGGCTGAATTTCAAGCCTCTGGAACAAGTATGAAGTGCTTTCCTTCAAAGAAAACTACTACAATCTCATTCACTCCTTCAAAAGGAGAAAACCCCAAGCAGCAGGGGGCTGTTCTGCATAGAACAAAAACGACTGAAGGGAAGGATGAAATAATTAAATAGCAAGTGACTAGAGCTTGAAGCTAAACAAATTCAGCCTGGAGAAGAGAAGCTGCGTGGAGGCCCCAGAGCAGCGTCCAGGGTCTGAAGGGGGCTACAAGGATGCTGGAGAGGGACTCTTCATCAGGGACTGTAGTGGTAGGACAAGGGGTGATGGGTTTAAACTGAAATGGGAAGTTCAGGTTAGATATAAGGAAGAAGTTCTTCCCTGTGAGGGTGCTGAGGCGCTGGCACAGGGTGCCCAGACAAGCTGTGGCTGCCCCATCCCTGGCAGTGTTCAAGGCCAGGTTGGACAGAGCCTTGGGCAACATGGTCTAGTGTGAGGCGTCCCTGTCCATGGCAGGGGGTTGGAACTGGATGAACTTAAGGTCCTTTCCAGCCCCAACCATTCTATGATTCTATGTGATGCTGGCTGATAAATTCCAGTTTATCTATTAAATGCCGGTTATATAGTTGTTGTCAGGAGAAATGGGTGTCAAATAATGATCTCTGATTTCCTCCTTTTGTTTGTTTTGAAGAGTATTACAGAAATGCTTTGAAAGCAATGAAAGAAGAAAATGTCAGACTGATTTTGAAGCACATGGACTTAGTTAAGGAACAGGCCCCTGAGGTATTCCTTCTGCCTTTTTACAAGTGCTAACTGCCTCATAGTTAAGATTCATGTACTCTGCATTAATAATTATTTTCACTTGAATTAAGACTTGGAACTTTTCTAATAAATTGAGAGTAAAACATGACACTGGTTATTTTTATACACACATGTACTTTGTATTTTACACCAGACTAAAAATGAGTAGATGTGAGGGCATTTTCCAAGTGAGGTATGGGAAACTAGAACACCATGCACTGACTTCACGTGTTCAAGAGCAGGTCACTTTTGCTGTGAGTTCAGAAAAGCAATTAGTATACACAGAGAGATTGTCTGCATGGAAACATACAGCAATTGGAAAATTACTTTTAAACTTCCTTACTTCTAAATATTTTAAATGCCCAAATAATGCAGTCTGCAGTAAAATTTAGGTTTATTAGTACATATAAATATACACATATATACATACACATATATGTATATATATACATA